TCTTTCCCACAAAGGCATAATATGAATTTGAAGATGGTTTTAATAATGCTGTGCAATGTGTCTGGTTTCCCTTCGATGCAATCTATAGGGAATCACATCTTCCAAGATGGGAACTATCAGTCAGATTTCTACCCAACTTTATTAAAGATTTTTTTTCTTCTAAATATTGGTTCCAAATTCTATTCACCTCTCTATTCCTTCTTTAAAACAAATTGAGTCCTCTTGTTTCAGAAAATAGCTAACCATTTATTATCCAATTTATTACTCCTTTGCTTATGCCCCCATGGTCCTCCACCATGCAGTTTTCACTTTTTAAAAACGATGAGTAAATACCTCCTAATAACAACAATATGTGTGGCAGTCAGCTGGATGTGGTTAGGCCGCAATGCTATTACGGGTAAATTCGCTATTAAGGGGACAAAAGGAGGGGCATAAATGACAGCATGAGACTTCACAGAATGCCAAGGAGGGAGAGTGACAGTGTCAGGAGAACAAAAGTAAAATGTGCTTCCAAATTTAGTCCAGAGGGTCCCATTAAGCGCACCCGCTCAGGCTTGGGTGTTGATGGGTAGAGTAAATATATAGCTTATGTTCTCTGGGGCAGTTTAATCATCTACATCATGTCCCATTATCCCTGAAAGACTGAATGTTGCAATTATCAACATTTCTCAGAATTAGCCCTGGAAAAGGCTCCTTTCTCTGCAGCCAGAATACAGTGGTACCAAGCTCTGAAGCACATGGGAGACTGGAAAAATTCCAGGAGTGAAAGGAAGCCAACCTGGGCTGGCGTGAAGGAGTCCACGCAGTCTCTGCAGCCCCAGGCCAGCAGCCCCGGGCCAGCAGCCCAAGGCCAGCAGCGCAGAAGTGCGGCCAGTTTCTGGAGGCCACCATCCCATGAGGCCAGCAAGGGTGCCTCAGAAGGAATAACCAGGGGGGGCAGGCAGGCCTCTAGGTGCAGAGGACTCAAGTTCCGTCAGCAGCACAGGATGCAAAGCTCAGGAGGCCAGAATGGACAGACCACAGCTACTTGTCACTTGTGAGACAAACTTCTAAAAACAACTGAGCCACGACAGGGGGTATGTTCACAGTGGGGGTGACAAATTGCTCACTGAATATTGAGAAGAGTGATTTTCAGCAATAAATCAATGAAAGACTTCCTCCCTGAGAATGCTCCTGGAAAAAAAAGATGACACTGCATTTATGCATAGGATGGTGAGTACAGTAACAGATGAATGGCACTAATTTGGTAAAATTATTCCTTGGCAGTGTTATAATTGTTAAATTGCTTCCTTTCTGGGTTTTTAAGGTTTATGGGGGAATGGCTATCCACTTTGTTTACCTTTGTAAGTTCAGAAAAGCAAAACTCTTGACTCATACTAGGTACTTCATAACAATTTTGAAAAACTGGATCAGTAAATGAAAGAAGAGCTCACCTGTTAAGTGGCCCGACACATAGTTAAAGGGGGGGCCCTGTTCTCATCTAGTCTGGCCAGCAGTATTTGTCTAAAATCTTTCTCGTGTATTCTGTTAACATGAATCAGTACCAGAACTCAATCAACAGGGCCGGTGACCAGACCTAAAACGCCATTAATCCCCTGACCTGCAACCACCTTAGTCTGAGGCTAAAGAAGGAAATCTGCCCTTACTGCGGTCTCAAAGACAAAGCCCATCCGCTGAGGCTTAAATCAGGGGTTTCACACTCTTATGCCTATGGGGGCCAAGAAAATATTGTAAGTGAGTGACAGAGGCAAATACACATTGTATTTAATGACGGGGGCTGCGCTGGATGGAGAATGCACGTCTTTTCTAAAGGAAACAGACATTGCTCAGTTCCAGTGAATTATTCCCAGATCTTCTGACTGTATTTTTAAACCTGGAAATCTAAAGTTTGCATATATTATCTACTTGATTTTCAATTTGGCTCACTACAGTAATGACAGACAAAACAAACCTGTGGGCCTTTGCCAGCTGTGTGGATTATCAATTCATAATCTTGGTTTTAAACCATAGAGAAAGAAAACAGAAATTGGGAGTGCTGACTGATAAGCACTACTCTGTCACATCCACCAATGATCTATAGGAGGAAGAGGTTTAGAATACAAGTTTATGAGATCAATTTTGGACATAAGCTTGAGATACATCTAGGAACACAATTTTGAAGCACAGAACTATGCTCTGGGCTGGAGTTATAAGTTAGAAACTGAGGGAATTATACTAAGTGAAACAAGTCATAGAGAAAGACAAATGCCATATTATTTCACTCATATGTGGTATATAAAGAAACAATTACAAATGAATGATCTAAGCAAAACAAAAACAAACTCTTAGACCGTAAAAAGAAAACAGTGGTTAACAGAGGAAGGGAAACGAGGGTGGGTAAATCAGATAAAAGGTGTCAGCTATCTGGTGACTGATGGGAACTGGAATCCTGGAGGTGAATATAATGTAGTTTCTATAGATGTTCATTTTAAAGGCTGTGCACCTGAAGCCTAGACAATATTATAACCCAATGCTACATCAGATAGACAGATGAGAGAGAGAGAGAAAGCGAGAGAAAGAGAGAGAAAATCGTGGAAGCCAATGAGTTCTGCCAGGAAGAACTGGTTACCTGGGAAAAAGAGTTCTACTAGAGAAAGTGCAAGAATGAATGGCATGGATCAAAGAGTGAATGGTTGGGGGAATAGTAGAAACAAACAGTGAGAGTAATCGACTCTTCTGAGAAATGGTTATTTATGATGGGAAAGGAAGTGATCAAACGCGATCTGTAAGTCACATGAACTATTAAATTCTCTGCCAATAATCATCTTCCTTATGACACCTTCTAAAATTGACCTTCCCAGAAATGTAGCTCTGGAAGTCTCAGGTTCCAGGACAGACCTTGCCAAGACGGTTGGCCATCCTGAACTTCCTCTGCCCCGCACAACAGCCCTGCTTGGGGCAATGCTTCTCCATGGAATGCTTCTCACACACCTTCTGGATCATAGGATCCTGTTGCTCAAGGAAAGTTAATATGCATGGTGGGATGGTAATGGCTAAAGCGTTACTCTTCTCTGCTAACTTTTGTGTTGTGAAACCAACCCTCTTGGAAATCCCTGTATTTGTCTAAAGTATGCTTCACTGTAACTTTGTACCACTGGATATAATGAGCAATACATAAAAATATACTAAAATAGAAAAGCTTTCATGGTGCACTAATTTTAGGAAATGCTGGGTTAAACAAAGTTAAACAGGTTTCATTACAGCAGGATTTTCAAAGACTAATATTCTAATACGCATCATAAAACTACAGGAGGGAATAAAAAATTCAGCATTTTCTAAAATTACCTGATTATAGAATTTATTTAAAGTGTCATCACATGGGTCAGAAATTCAGGAAAATGTCTTCCTACAGGGCCAATGTTAGTGGAGGCTACCAGGCAATGGAAGCTAGTGATGAGAGCTCTCAATCAGCACCATGTTAATTGCACAAAGTTTCTGCACAGAGCTGCCACATTCTCTTCTGTTCACTCTGCCTTCAACATTCTCCTCACACAATGACATCAATGTGGCAACAATCTCTTCTAATCAAAATGGACCCTTGCTTGAAAGTTTAAGTTTTTTCCCTTTTGATCAGCTCAATTCCAGGGTCTCCGTAATAAAAACTGGGATTGGGGGTGGTGGTGCTTTCATTTCACGGCCCAGTGTGACTACCAATGAGATAAAGCTGATGAATAAACTTGTTGATTGTTGATATTATTTCCCTGCTTCTATTTGTTTTTCTTCTTTTATAGCTTGCAGACTCTGTTGTTATGAGGAAAATCAATAAACAAGCTTTCAAGGAAACTTAAACCCACGGAGAATAAAGGCCCTTTTGCCTTGAAGTTATTCTTTTCTTTTTTTAAGGTAGTAATATCCACTCCACAGCCAGAGTTCATGTTCAAGTCAACAGAAGCCTTGTGTGCTCCTAAGAGGACTCTCTGCTGGGAAAACAAAGCTTCCAAGTATTTTCAGAGGGATATCTTTTGTTACTAGGATAACATCTGTGAGTTGAATTGTTTTGAAAATGGCTTGAAATCAGTCCAGGTTGAGGAAAGAGAACTAACGTAGCCAAGAAAATAAATCATTGGCCACATGTCCAGGGACTATAAAAGAAAGTAGATTTAGCTACAAAAAGCAACCTTTTCATGTGAGTGTAAATGAAAGAGAACCTAATTAATTGGAGCAGAGATCCTCATCTCTGTCCTCTCAAAGAAACAGAGATCAGATCTTTCAGAGTTCTGCTCAGGGTCAAAAGATTTTTGCCATTGCATGCCATAATTAAAGGGGTTAACTGTGGTGCCCACATGTGAGTTACCGATCAGAGCAGCACCATTCAAAAGGATGAGGTGAAAGCAGGTGGTACTTATACTAAACAATTAGTGAGATGGTGAAACGTCCCATAACTTTGCACTGTTCAACATGTTTGCCAGCAGCTGCATATAAACACTGCTGGACACTAGAAATGTGATTAGTATAGCTAGAACACCGAATTCCAATTTTATTTAATTTTAATTAATCAAATTTAAATAACCACATCTCCCGAGCAGTGACCATATTGGATAACATGGTGCTGGAAAGTACAAGTTGAATTTATCAAGCAAGGATCCCCAAACTTTTAACAAGGGCATAGCACAACATGGGTATCCCCATGCCATGTACCCAGACAATTTTAACCCAAGAAAAACTATATTATAAAGTCAGTATGGGGCAGGGGGTGGAAGGAGGGATGAAGTGGTAAAAAAAAGTCCATATCTACTTGGTAAATCAAAGTAAATTTAATCAAGGCATGATGGCCACTGGGTAGAAGCAGGGCCTGACATGCTTTAGTAAGAAAACAGAGTCCTGAGAATTGGTTATTGGGTGAGAATGTAATGTTAGTGTCTGTCTAACAAATTACCCCAAAGTGTAGTTAAATCAATGATGTTTTTGCTCACAAGTCTACAGCTAAGGCAGAGCCCACGGCGTGTTGTGCACTCACATACCTGAGTGGTACTACAGCTGGGAGGCGAGGTCATCTAGAGGCTGTTCACTCCCAGGGTCCCAGAAGCTGTGGGTTCATGGCTAATAGACCATCATCCAGAAGACCTTACAACTAGCTACTCCATGAGGTCTGGACTTTCTCACAATTGGTGACCCGGTTCCAAGGGAAAGTGTTCAGAAAGAGAAATCAAGAGGGTTCTATATCTTCTTTATGACCTAATTTTAGAAGCCACATTGTGTCACTTCTACAGAACTCTGATCATCAAAGAAGACACGAAACCACTCAGGGTAAAGGAAAAGGAAAACGGACCTGAAGTCTTAATGGGAAGTGTCAAGGAGGTTCTGGAAGAGCATATGGGACAGATATATCACTAGAGCCATTTTGCAATATGGTCCATCACTGTTAGATAAAATAATTTAGGCTTCAAGTTTTACAACCTTAGCCAACCCAGACTAACGACAAAAAATAAATGTATTATTTTAAGAAACTAGCAAACTTAAAGTACTAAATAGGGATGGATCCAGTGGCACATGTGATGCAATTGCATCATTATGACTTGCTTATTCATCCTCTGTTTCTTGTCTCTTTCTTGCTTCTGTTTCTCTTTCAAACTGTCTCATCTTCTTCAAATGAAAGAACAAAATGGCAACTCTAAATCAACACCCTGAAAATCTTTGATCCTAAAGGAAGAGACTCTCTTGGCTGCAATTAATTTTGTTTATTAGGTCATATGCCCACCCCTTGTCTAATCACTGGATCTGGAGAAATAAAGATCCATAACCTGCTCCACCATGTGTGTTTGTGTGTGTGTTGGGGGGGAATCATGGCTACTCCTCACCATTTACACTCTTTCCCAAATAAGTCATCCACCTACTTACACAGAGTCAGTCATATTCTATAACAGTTTCCAAAACTCCCCCTCAGGTTGTGACTTCTCTTTTGAACCCAATTCTATCAGTCCATTCTGCAGACATTGGTCACTGGCCACCCTCCATCTCCTTCCTCAATGGGTCTAAATGTGAATCCATCACCTTCCTGCACATCACCCACCAGGCATGTGTATATTGTTGAGTGATAACAATATAAGTGAAGCTCCTGGTTCACTTCCTCACACATAAAAAAGCAAGATCCTATCACTAGTCTTATTTTTCTAATGGTGTCTTTCAATGACCCTCACTAAGTATTATAGTAAGTATTATTCTCTTTTTTATTGATGAGGAAAATATACCAAGAGGGTAAATGTAGAGATAAGCAAATATAAAAGCACTGGTGGGATAGGCAGATTGAGCTGCAAACACACACCATTAGGGTGATGACTATGAAAAAAGGTAAGTTTTGAGACAAATTTTATGAAAGTGAATTTTGCAACTGACCTAACAGAATGAATAGCAACTAATGCACATTAAGCAGCTACTCTGTACCAGTAATTATTTTAATATCAATGTCCACTATTCATATCAACTCCCCACCATTAACAGCCATCATTTTTCTTTCCTGGCTTTGTAACAGAGGTCGGTGTGAGACCTCATAGGTTAAACAGATCATGTTAGGTCTGGCAGCAGCAAAATATGAAGTCATTGATCGGGGGTTTGCTGCAGACTATCTGGACCCCAAGATGTGTCCCTACTCCATTCTGTTGCCTCTTACATGAAGAATAATAAGTTGGGAGAGAAAGGAAAAGAGTAATGATAAATACAAAGTCATCAAGGTAGAAATCAGTAATTCTTAAGCAGGGGTGAGTGGTTATCACCAGGTTGTATGGACTGCAAAACAATACCTGAGTGAGGAATCAGGTGGGATTTGGGATACAACAAAGGAAAAGTCATTTTTAATGTCAGCCTGAGGTGTCTGAATATCTGGAAAAGCCCAAAGGGAACCTGACCTTCTGGGCACTCTGACTTAATCTAAGTCAGTGCGTAGGTAAGCAAACATGGCGGCTGAGACACACACTAGTGTCATGGAAATGGCGGTGACCTTTTTAATGTGGAGCACAAACAGTTTGTTGAAACCAGTAGCATCTCTATTCAAAGAGCTTTATGAACATCTGTGTCATTTAACTCTTTGCAAATTGTGAAGAAAATAGCAGACTCAAGACAGATGCCCCGGTCACATCCCAGGCCTGACCCCTGAGCGGGGGTTAAGTACTGGAGATCAGAGTTCAAGTGAGCTGTGTGCTCCCACAGCAGGTTCAATGTTGACAGCGCCTTGAGCGAACATCTGGCTAATAACATGCCTTCCATTTCCTGCCAGCACTTACTCATCGCACCTGCTCCATGCAAGGAAATGACTTGGGTCAAGGAATTACAGCATGATTTCAAATGTTTGTCTCATCACCTACAGATATAATGAAAAAAATAACAACCACAGTCATGGAGGAAATCTTGGGGAGGTCTTTTACTGGAAATTTGAAAATAGAAATGCAAAAAATAAGAAACATAATGATAATCTGAGGCTTTAACCAGTAATTCTCAAATATATAACAACTTCAGCATGAAAGGAATGATTTCTTTGGCCTCAGTACTAGTTGACTTATCTCACTGTTTACAATTTTTAAAACTCTTACAAACATGAGATATAAATTACATTAGTGTTTTCCTAGGAATAACTGGTTCCAGGAAAGGACATGTTTTCATAATTCTCTTTTCAGGTTTTCTTAAGATTGTTTGGGGCATTAAATGCAGAATTTTCCCAAGGAAGAAAAATGAAAGCAACTCAACCCTTTTCAAAATCATTTAAAAACTGCTTGATCCATGATTAATGATTAGCCAATTACCTCAGTCTGAGTTGTTGACTAAATCTCAAAAAATTAGTCTAAATTGTCCCACTAATGTGAATCTGATTTGACCAGATAATAACTATATTATTTAAAATTACATAACAATAATATTGAACAGTGGTCGATTTTCTTTTAATTTCTAGGGAATAAAAGCATTTGAGAGACTCTTACCTACTGTTTTCAGGACTAAACAATCACATGAATTATAACTCATAAAAAAATGTTCTTCCTATCTGAAAGTTGTTTTGTCAACTGGTGAACAAACATCCACAATGCTCACTGGCATCTATCAAAATGTTCTGAGCATCTTGTAACAAAAGAGCACAGATCATGGAATGTTGAGACATTACTAAGTAAACAGTACACAGATGTGGATGCTGAAAAATTAATAGCACACAATCTTCCGATGGCTATAGAACCAAAAACACTTCTACAAAAACAGAATGAAACAAGTCCAAACACAAATACTCATGCAATCATGGAATAAATGAATCATAAGGTACTGAATCAGATGTGCAGAGCTCTGGCATCAGGTGTAATTCCTGAGAAATGACTCAGTCTCTCACATAGTTCTTCATGCCATCTCCTTGGCAGAGAGAATACTGGAATTAAAACTCACTTACAACATGGGACCAGAAAGCAGCTTTAAAACTACTTTCAAGATATGCCATGATGTTTGAAATCTTCCTCGTCACACCTCAAACGCATAGTTCTTAAACTTAGCATAAATACTGATTGCTCATATAAGATGTTCTAATAAACTACCATATTTTTGTTGTTATAAGTTAAAGCCACAGGAACCCTAGGAGGTTGCTGCTGACATCTAGTGGCACAATTTTTTAAATGCTAAAGGCATTAAAAATAAATACCTAGAGAGACAGAGCACAGACATGCATGGAAGTCTAGCAGACACCCCATGTCACAAGTTATTGCCCTCTGCACACACCATTCTGCCTCCAGCAACTTGTTTCCCCTTCCAAAGTCATGTGAGTACTGCAAGGCTGAAGAAATGAACATTGACACATTTGCTAAAGCCTGATAGGCACCAATTCCCTCAAAGCCTGTCTATCAAACATCTATCAAAAATTAATCCTCTAGGGCCTCCCTGGTGGTGCAAGGGGTTAAGCACAGCACTATGAAGCTGTCTGCAGCCTCTACAGCATGAGTTCAATTCCCAGATGGTCAGAGAGCGACCCACATGGCGCAGAAGAACTCTCCTGCCTCACCTGCTGCTCCCCTTAGCAGTGTATTTCAGGCAATCTATCTGTTCTGCTCCCCACCTCTGTCTCTGGTGAATCCTCTCACAACCCATACCTCTGGCCTGTACCCTAGTTCTTGTATGCACAAATAAATAAATCTTTAAAAAAAATTAGTCTTCTACTGGGAATTGCCAATTCCTGGGAATCCCAATTCCCAAAGGCCTTGCCCCACTCCCAATAGACTTAATTTGACCTCAACTTCCAAAACAACCATACCCTTCCCAACGTCCACATCTAGCATGCAGGCACTCTAGGGTCCCAGCCTAAACATATGCTGCTGTAGAGTCGGGGATGTTTCTTCCAGACCACACATCCACAGATATGCACACATATTCAAAATGGCCCCAAAATTCTTAGACATAATATTCAACAGCTCTTGAAAACTCAAAAATAGCTATCAGGGATACTAACAAGCATGGCCTTACAAACTATCTACATAAATGATGATGTACAAAAGAACATGGAAGAAATTAAAACTGATGTGGAAAATTTAAAGAAGCGTGGAGGCAACTTCCACAAGTATGAAAGGGGGTGTATTTTGTAGCCTCTATCAGTTACAAAATACATATCTATATAAGGTGTGTGTGTGTGTGTGTGTGTGTGTGTGTGTGTGTGTGTGTGTAGAACAAGTAAAAAACTCTTAAGTTCTGGCTGTACTCCAACACTAGCCAGAGAACTTATGAATTTAGTAGGTAAATAGATAAACATTGAATTGCTAAATGAATAAATGTATAAGGTGGCAAATTACAATATAAGTTTCTTCTCTTCTATTGACTGTGATGTAAGATATGCAATAGTGTCCTCATAAGGCAGCATTTTCTCTTAGGTAACAGGACCTTTGTTGGGTAGCTCAGGTTAGATTTTCCTTCCGTCACATGCAAAGTGGCACCAAGCCAATGGGTGATTAAACTAGGCAAGTGTCCCTTGGGAAAGAGTGTGTTTCGAAAGCTGAAAATGTTTCACTTTACAATTAGTATATTTGAATTTCAATTCTATTCTCATTGAAAAGACGTGATAACAGGAGAGTAGGTAGTCAAGGGAGTGTTAATTAATACAAAGCATAGCTAAATTATCATTTTCATAGTAACAAAAGAATCTTCTAGTCTTTTAAATATCCCTTCAATGGAAATCCTAGAGCTGCAAGGTGCTCATTCATGCAAACTTTCTTTGCTTCATTCATAAG